TAAATAATGAAAAATATTTTTGTTAATATTATATTTAACATTAACAAAATATTATTATTTTTTATTATATTAAAAATTTGTTTATAATTTCATATTTTTGATTTTATATAATTTTTTAAATTATTTATTTTATTAATTTTAAAAAATTTTTTTATTTTTTAAATTTATTTATTTATTATAGAAATGGCGAAGAAACTACAATATTCGGAGCAGCAAATGCTTTCTGCCCTAGACGCTGTCAAAAATGGAACTTGCTGCTAGCAAGTTGTATAGAGTTCCTAGGTCAACTTTGTCTGATAAACATCGTGGAAAAGTTCCCGTTGAACGCAAAATGGGACCTGTGTCAATATTATCAGTAGCAGATGATCAGAAGTTTATCAACTTGTGCAGTGGATGTTTGATGTTGCAGCATTAGGTTTTCCAGTGACCAAGGAGCAACTTTTGGACAGCGTAGAAATGCTTTTATGGGAATTGGGTAAATCTTCTCTTTTTCCAAATGGTAGGCCAGGTAGGACTCAAATAATCTATTGTCTATTCTTTTTGATCCCCGTAGGATTTTTAACTGCGACGAAACAGCCTTCTTTCTGTGTCCAGAAGGTGCTCAGGTTTTAGTTAGGAAAAGTGAGAAGGCTGTCTATAATTTTATTAATTGCAACGAAAAAGAATGTCTTACTACCTTGGTAACAGGTAATGCAGCAGGCGAATTGGCACCTCCGATGATAATATTCTCGTATAAAAGAGTTCCTGCAGAAATAGCTGCATCAATACAAAAAAAATGGGGTCTTGGAGTCTCCGATAATGGGTGGATGACTGGTGAAACTTTTTACTAGTATCTCTCGAATATTTTTCACCCGAGGATTTTGAGCAACAATATCCCTCTGCCTGTTGTTTTATATCTGGATGGGCACACTTCCCATCTTACAATGAGTGTTAGTAATTTCAGCCGTAAAAATAATGTTATTCTTGTAGCTTAACATTCTAATGCCACTCATATTCTTCGGCCAATGGATGTAGATGTGTTCAGTCCATTAAAAAAACAATGGAAAAAAACTGTTCATAATTGGCGAATGGAAAATGGCGGTCAGCGATCAACGCGAAAAAATTTCGCTCCTTTATTGGAAGTAACCTTTAAGAATTGCAATTTACAGCAGTCTTTACAACACGGTTTTAGATCATGCGGGTTGCATTCATTTTCTGCAGATTCAGTGGATTACACAAAGTTGCTTCAGCCCCGTAAATCTGCTAATTCATCAATGTTGGACATAGAGGATGTTAAGAACCACCTGGAATTTATTGAAAATCATTTACCTATCTCAAAAGTTAATTTATTTAAATCATCAGGCACTTCATGGTATGGCAATGTCAAAGATAAAAGCATGTTTTACTTTTGGTTGTCCCTAAAAATAAAAATTAGCGACATTGAAGAGAATGGAGCAGATGCTTCATCTAATTTTGAAGATAGTGAAGAAACCTCATCTCCAGAAAAAAGTATTTCAAAATAAGTTGAATTTCAGGCAGGAAGAATTGAAAACGAAATAACTCAGGAAGATGTAGATCCAATTTTTGATATCGACCTTCAAAACTGTGAAATGTTGATGATGATGGATGAAATTAATACGGATGAAATGCCTCCTGTAATTATAATCGACACACACATCCAATCAACCAACACGACTACAATTTCAAATCAGGATATAAGTAACATTCCAGATTTGGAATGTTCTGAGAAAGAAGAAGATAGTAAAAACAATCTGAATATTGTAAATAATAGAGATATACCATCTCCATTTAAGAAAGCACTGCCTTGGCCTAGTCCAGAAATTAAAAATAAAAAGAAAATGTCTAAGTCCACGTCAGAAATATCAGAATCCGCAAATGGTTCTTCGATTTTAATGATACTTGGTAAAATTATAGCTTTATATAAGAGCAATGTGTAAGTAAAAGGAATTTTTAAAATATCTAAAATTGTAGGAGTTATATCACTTTTAATTTTGATACTGCATTTTTTTCTTTCCTTTATATCTCGGTCAATTTTCAACCGATTTTGATGAATCAAAAACGATTTTTTTCAGAAAATTAATTATTTTCAGAATATTTTAAAATAAAAATAAAATTTTGTTATTTAAATAGAAAAAAGTAAAAAACAAAATTTCTTTCAGATTTTTTTTTCAATTTCGACCTCTTTTTTTTAATTTTTAATTTTCTAATAATATTCCGTTTTATTTAATCTTTAATTTAAAAAAAATTCATCCTGGAGACTTTTTTAGATCTCGTGATATAGTTCTTTAAGTATTATAAATCTTCATCAATTTGAAAACCGCAGGACTTGCTTCTATCATTACTTTCATTTGTTTGTTGAAATTTTTTATGGTTATGAATAACTATTTGTTTAGTTAACCTTTTGTAATATTGTATTATCTTATGTGTAATATTAATATTAAAGTTTTCATAAATTTTGTTTGCATTTAGGTGCACAGGTAGATTATTATTATCTTTTTATTATTAGTTTTTCTGCTTTAAATTTTATTATTTTTTATAACATTAATAATTCTAATAAAGACATGTTTTTCAGTTATTACATGGATTAGTATTTTTATACATTACAATGTTTCCGCGTTGCTTCAATTCCTTACAAAAGAAATCACATAAGAAAGTTGGAAGGAAGAACCTTCGTCTTGTTTCTGATTTAAATAATTTAAAAATAAAAACATTATTACGCGAAAATTTCTAGTTTGTAACAATAATATTATAAAACAAATGAAAGTAGAAACATAAATCTGGATCCTAGTTTTCTTGAGATGTGGATATTTAAAGAACTATATCACGAGATCTAAAAAAGTCTACAGGATGAATTTTTTTTAAATTAAAGATCAAATAAAACGGAATATTATTAGAAAATTAATAAAAAGAGGTCGAAATTGAAAAAAAATCTAAAAGAAATTTTGTTTTTTACTTTTTTCTATTTAAATAACAAAATTTTATTTTTATTTTAAAATATTCTGAAAATACTTAATTTTCTTAAAAAAATTGTTTTTGATTCATCAAAATCGGTTGAAAATTGACCGAGATATAAAGGAAAGAAAAAAATGCAGTATCAAAATTAAAAGTGATATAACTCCTACAATTTTAGATATTTTAAAAATTCCTTTTACTTACACATTGCTCTTATATAAAGCTATAATTTTACCAAGTATCATTAAAATCGAAGAACCACTTGCAGATTCTGATATTTCTGACGTGGACTTACTTAAATGTCAAAAAGTAGGCATCAAGAAGAAAAGTCATGTTCAGTAATTGCGGGCGAAGAATGGGTTACATACCATAAAAAGAAAGAAGAGGAAAAACATTTACTACAACTGCAAACAGAAGAGAAAAAGAAAGAAAGAGTAAGAAAAGCACAAGAAAATAAAGTTGCTTTGGAAGCAAAGCGAGAAGAGAAGAGTAAAAAAAGAGAAAAAAAAATATTGATGATGAAGATAGAAAAGAAAGGAATGAAGGCAGCAACTAAAGGAAAACGCGCGAAACTTGCAGAAGAATAAGAAGAAAAAAATAGCCATGAACAGTTTATTAACATTATATGTTATAAACATATTTATAAATATTTATTACGCTTTTTTTCTTCTGAAAAAAACCTACTATTAATGTTTGCAAATATTTTAATAGTGTTAAAGTTAAACGTAGACGTTATTAATGAATTCCTGTTTTAGACGACTTTGCCTTAAAAGTCGGGAAAAAATGGGTACATATTTTAAAAAATTTTGAATTTTATATGATCACTGTGTGATCTGCTGATTCTGTGTTCTTTTTGTTGACAATAGATAATTGTTTTTTGATTCGATTTTGTTTTAAAAGTCGTCAAAATTAGATATGTTTAAAAATGATGATTTTTATTAAATGTGCCTAATTCTAATTATATTAAAATGTAATCATTAAAAAAAATTGTGATTCTAAGTACGAAAATAAATTTAAAAATAATTATTTTCAATTATAACTGACTACTGTTTATTAAAATATTTAGGGGCATCACCTTTAAAATAGTTCATTTAATCAATAATAATTGCTATAATTATACTATAATATAAGAAAATAAACTTAAAAAGTTTGTTTTCATATTTTAATATTATTGCTGATTACTAGTGTTTTCACTCGACGATCACTAAGGCAATCAATTTTCATCCCTGCCGATTACTAACACATTTGCGTTTTACGAACTTCATTTATAAATAATTATTAACAATAATAAAATTTATGAAAATCATAAGGTAATTATGCTTCTTTATACTTTACTTTACTCGTAAATACTAATTATTACCTTAGAAATAACGTTTAACATTTTTTAATAAACAATTAAAGCTGCCAATTCGGCTGAAGGTGACGATTACTGGTGTATTTACCTTAGTTAATGAATTTCTATCCATTCTATAGATAGGAAAATTCATAATTTAAAATTTTTTTCAAAAACATTTTTTATACAAATGTTCTTGTACAAGAACATAAACCTGTTCATGTAAAAGTACTTGTACATGAAACCTGAACAAGAACTTGTACATTTTCTTGTACAAGTTTTTTCAGCCGGGAAACCGGGTTATGAGGTGGTTTATGAGACCACGATGGGACCGGCTGAGGATCAAAGTATTACATCTCAATTGTCGCAGCCCTTTATCGGTCCAACAGCGTCTTGTACTAACATTAACTCATTTCAACGGTTGGGTAGCTCTGACCGCCCTAAGATGGCTCAAAATAAAGGCTAAAATTCTCATTTGTCTTCGACGAATAGAACCGCTTTATATAGGAAATGTAATAATTAAAGCAGTAAATAATTAATAACTAATATTAATTGTGTTATAAGTACCTGTTAATTTGTTATTCTGTGGGATTTCGAAATATTTTGATAAATTGATAAGGAATTTATTTTTAATTCAAAAATAAATGTGAAATTTATTAAATTCTGTTATTTGTAAGTCTAATTAATTAATAATTAAAATATTATTTATATTTAGATAATTTTAAACGCTGCAATGAAAGGAGAAATGGGTCCTTGGGCGCAAAGGGTCGCAGAACATCAGATACAACGTAAATTAGGAAAAGATGTTGCAACAATTACGAATCACTATGGAAACATTAAAAATATTCACAAAGACTCAAAAGAAAAAGTAAAAACTTATTTTAATTAACATTCATATTTAACTAAAATCTCTTCACCGTAACTATAAGTAGGAAGGTTGGAAAAGGCGGGTCAAAGACGTTTTTCAAAATATCCCCCCCTATTTTTAATCTATTACAACTTGTGGTTACAGTGTCTCTGATTGAACCCATTTTGAGTTCAGGTTTTTTCTGTAAGTCAAGGCGTTTCACCGCCTGAGCATGGAATTCCACATGGAAACCTATATTAGATTCCATGTAGGAATTCATGATGGTTCCCATATAAAAGCACACCGGAATTTCGGACAGGATTTGGTGTCAGAATTTGCTTGGAATCTCTTATGGGTTTCCAAGTGTGATTTCATATAGTAATACCACATACATAGAATGCATGACTTACAAAATTTGACATTTTGAAAAATAAATTTTTTTGGATATCTCGAAAACGATAAGAGGTACAAAAAATCTGACAAAATTTTGTTGTCACTCCATAATGTAGAAATGTTTCCAAGTAAATTAAAATATTATTAGGTTAAATGTCAAATTTTGAAAAATTTTATTTCTTTAAATAAAAAATTTCATGTGTGATTTCATATTAGATCCTATATGGAGTTCTATGTGGAATTTTACATGGAATTCCAGATGGGCATCCATAAGGGATTTCATATCGTTTCCTAGACAAAACCCTATCAAAAATTCCGGTGTGCTTTTATATGAGAACCTTCATATAGGTTTCCATGTGGAATCCCATATTGGTTTTTCCAGTAGGATGGTTTAAATGTAAATATATATTTTTCCTTAAAATTTAATAATTTTAGCTAGGTAAAATTTCCCTCCTTCTTAAAAGTACTTTCTGCCAACTTAATAAATTTTGAACTTAGATCACTTGAAAAATTTTTCTACATAAATATTAATTAAGAAAAAAACAATACTTCATTGAATTTTTTCAATTTTTTAGGAGCCATTCAGAGCCAATATTATAGATGAAAAGAAAAAGCATGCAGAAAATTTAAAAAAATCTCAAAAGAGAATAAATGTTGTAAACGTGGAAGGAACAAAACCATCGGCTGTCATTTCAGATCCAGAATCCTACATAAAGAAGCTAAATACTTTATACGATACTCAAAAAAGTGTAAAAATGTAAAAAGAAATTTTTATGTATCCAATATATCTGGTTGTATTGTTAATTAACGTTTTTTAATATAGTAACCTTGATTTTTAACGATGTTAAATATATAAACAAAATTATTAAAAATCAATTAATTAATCAAAAATTAATCAAGATTACAAGGGAAACCTGGCGGAACAAAAATCACTCAACGTCCACTTTGTATAGTAGACATTGAGTGGACATTGGGCAGAAACTTGGTAATTCGCAAAAATAAATGTTAAAATGACAAAATATGAAAAAATTTGAGTTGCAAAAGGTAAATAAATATCCAGAGACTCAATTCTAGTAATAATTGCGTTAAATAAAGCATTAAATATTAAAAAATTAATATAAATTGTGCAAAGTAACTTGTCGCATGTTTACATTATATTGGTTTTTTTAATATTTCCAATAAATTAATGTAAAATGACGTAGAACTTTACACATAATTTTAAAAAATGGTTAAATTCATCAAATTGATGTATTTTTGAGGTTAATTAATTAATAATAATAAAAATTATATTTCATCTCAGTAGTGTTGTGAAATACTATAGAAATTGTATTACCGACCACATGTGATAATAAAAAGTTCGATTTCACGGTAAGTAAAGTTATAGTTACGCATAAATACTTAGATGTCACTATAGTCACCTTGAATATGCTTCTGCTGGAATATAGATTTTGAATTGAATATGACATGATGATCGTTAATTTAAGTTGATGCCAGGACACGACTATATATTATAAATGGGGTAAAATTCCTGTAGCGAACTAAGTGAAAAAAAGTTGATCGGATCGGGCTGTAATTTGCACATAGTTTAGCCCTAGGAATGATTAATTTAACCACGTATTTATGCATAACTATAACTTTACTTACCGTGAAAGGGAAATTTTTATTATCACATGTGGTCGGTAATTCAGTTTCTATAGTATTTCACAACACTATTGAAATTAAATATAATTTTTATTATTATTAATTAATTTACCTCAAAAATACATAAATTTGACGAATTTAACAATTTTTTAAAATTATGTGTAAAGTTCTACGTCATTTCACATTAATTTATTGAAAATATTTTTAAAAAAACCAATGGAATGTAAGCATGACAAGTTACTTTGCACAATTTATATTAATTTTTTAATATTTAATGGTTTATTTAACGCAATTATTACTAGAATTGAGTCTTTGGATATTTATTTACCTTTTGCAACTCAAATTTTTTCATATTTTGTCATTTTAACATTTATTTTTGCGAATTACCAAGTTTCTACCTAATGTGCACTCAATGTCTACTTTACAAAGTGGACGTTGAGTGATTTTATTCCGCCAGGGGTTGTTCAGTTTCTTTGCATTGTAAGTATAAAAAATTAAGCAATTGCATCTTTGATTAATAAATCCAAAGAATATTCAAACGATGTTACAAAATGGTTTCGATAAACAAGCACATGATCCAGAAAGCGTAATAACTGATGAGGAAAAAGTTTTACGTTCTTATATTGAAAACTTGATAAAAGATTCTATAAATAATACTTTCTTCATGGAAACTTACAAATCATTGCATTTTAAAGATGCAATGCAAGTTTCAGACCCGTGTGCCATAGAAGATGAAAATAATGATTTTTTAATGGATATTGAGCAGATTTTAAATGAAGAATCAGTTTAGCAGACGTCTTCTCAAGATGTCATTGAAGATAATTATAAACATAAAGCTGTTAAGTACTGGCAGTCAGGGAAAAACGATATAATGATGGACTTTCGCGCGTTATGAAAAACCCGCTTGCACCGTCCACATTAATCGAACGCTAAATACTTATCTTAAATTACGCTGAAAAATACCAAAGGGAGATTCCAACTAAGTCGAACCATCGGTGCATTGATGATCCCAGAACAAGATTAATTATCAAAGAACTCAGCAACGTTGAAATGCCGACTTGTAAGACGACGTTGACTGACGATGATAAACACAAAATATGATAACACCAAATAACACACATTTAGTTAACAACGAATAAAGATTTATTTAAAACATACAACTATTTAAAGAATAATCAAGCGTATAACGCGACAATAAATTATGAATCCCGCGAAAGGGTCTTCCTCTTAATACGATCCAAAATCGACTGACTATTGACGCCAACTTCCCCTAAATCTCCTAATCAGTTAAGAGGAGCGCGATATCCCTTTTCCTCGTCACCCCTATCGCTCCATCCTTCTCCCTGGACGATTTGGCGGCAGCTCCCCGGAAAACCTAGATAACGACGCTGACAATCGGGCCTTTAGGCGGCACAAACATGCGCACATCCTCACGCAGAAAAACCGCCAGAACACATGTTCATGGCACGTTGACACGAAAAACTAAACAGCTGATAGATCAAGAGGGGCAAAAACGCTGACAGATACCAACCAATATAAGTAACGATTTACATCGTTACAAACCCCTTCCCTAGGCCGATAATAGCCTGCTATTATCGCCGATAAAACCCAAAACGAAACGAAACGCTGAATTCCGAAAATAGTACTTTACAGAGAAATTCATCTAATATTGTAAAGAAAAATTCATTTGTCGCTCCTCCGCAAATTGGGCTCGCGGTACTTGGGCCAATTCCTCTGGCCAACTGGCTTATTGGTTCTCTAGGAACCGAAGGTCCTCCAGCAGAGACTCACTCTCTCTGGACGCTGACATTGATTATGACAACCCAAGACGAGGAGGAATGAAACGCTTTAAGTCGAATAAGAGCGCATTAACGGTGCGACGAATATTATTGGACTTCAAGTCGTAAGCCGACACTGATGAAGGTTCAATAAATTTTACTTCTAAAACGCGCAACGCATCCAAACGCTTTATACGATCTACCGTATTAGAACAATAAAGCGCGTTAATTTTTTTAATCAACTGATGTAACATCATCGCTGACATGCTCCGAGGCCAATGTTTCATCGGCGTCGAGTCCAAAACGCTGATATGATACTCAGTATGAGTTGTCATCCCGTGCTCAACCGTTTGGGATAAAACTAATTCGTCTACTAACCTCTGGACTTCTTGACGCTGATCAGACGTCGAATCACAAATACCCGCACACTCTGCGTAAATTGTGCCGCCCAGACGCTCATTTCTATTCTCCGCGAATTTATACCATTCGCGGCCACTGACTCTCCATAAACCTTTACCTAATTGGACCTCAATGTCCATTTCTTTACAAAAATCATTACCAAGCAACAAATCATGGGACAAAGAGTCGATGGCTATCAACTCAAAAGAGTTGGTGCAACCATCAACAGTCAACCATAACTTCAACTTTCCAAGAGACTTGGTGGATCCGCCTATAGCACTATATATTGCTGACTTCATGCCTACTAAACGATCCTTGAATTTTTGCGCGAGTTTGGGACCTACAACTGACACTGTCGCTCCCGGATCAAACAACGCTAAATACGGTTGATCCGCTAAAAATACTTTAAAGAAACGTCTGTTGTCGCTGATACTCCCGAAATCCGTCTCGTCGATGATTGGGGATTCAACTGCACCATCTGCAGTTCCTACCCCCTCCTGGACTAGACGTGCTGATTCTCGATCAACACTTGGAGCTCCACTAACACTTGGACTCTCTAATTCATCCGGAATCTTCAAGACGCTGATTAAATCACCCGCTAATTCGCCAACATCTCTAATACACTCTCTACACAAACTTTGCTCAGACCTCTGAGACTTGTTGGGACTAGTTTCTGGACGTTGTTCACAACACACGGCCTCCCTAGTCGGAATATTATTGCTGTTTAGAACATTGTGTTCAGACCTCTGAACATCGTTCACTAGTGTTTCTGGACGTTGTCCGCGGCACGCGTCCTCACTAGTCGCAATAATATTGCTGGGAATTCTCTGTTCACACCTGTGAACATGATTCACCAGCAGTTGAGGACTCTGTACCCTACAGATGTCCTCATTAGTCGCACTTTTGCTGTTTCGAACATTGTGTTCAGACCCCTGAACATCGTTCACTAGTAACTCTGGACGTTGTTCACGACACACGTCCTGACTAGTCGCAAAATCGGCGCTAATTACACACTGTTCAGACCCCTGAACATTACCTTGACTACTTCCCGAATCGTTACTTGGTTCTGAATACTCCATTAATTTCACCCGCAGAAAACAATCATTTTTAACGAATGGAGCGCTGACTAACGAGGCTGATTCGCTAACGGGGGGGAGGGTCGTTGGGTCCCCCCCCTTGACAGTTTTCCACCCACTGTCTGAACGCGGCACAGTTCGGACATTGTGAAAACACTGTCCCACGGGTACCACATACTAGACAACTGTCAACACTTTGTTGGGGCTGTCCCTTATTTGGACATTGCGCTGCAAAATGACCTGCCTGATTGCACGCAAAACACACCCTCATCGGACACGCTGAAGCTCGGTGGCCGACCACCTGACACACACTACAGGGGGCAAAGTACGGACGCTGACCTGACGCTGATTGACCAGTATCAGTTTTAGGTCCCCACTGAGGGCCACGCTTCTGCCCAAAATTATGGCCAACCTGGGGTCGAGGCGGTCCACTATTGGGAACACCTTGCGCTGATTGAACAGATTTAGGCTGTACTAAATTTGTTCCTCTAGATGGCGTCTCATCTGTCATAAACGCTTCAACCACAGGTTCGCTAACATTATCACTCGATCTCATTCTCTTTGGTGACTGCTTCTTACTCTTTTTCTTCTTGGGGGGTTTGGGAGTACTACTTTCTTCTTCGGACTCAGACGCTGACGTATCTAATAACGCGTCTATTTTATGCGCCTTATTTGCTCCAGAAGGAGCTGCTGAAGGTACTCTCATTTTATCTTTAGGTGGAGGTGGGGCATAATGCTTATCTATGTCACGAACACGTTCGTAGCGATGCAAAATTTTTTCCAATTCGCTAAGCGAAATGTTATCATAAGTTGCTACGAATCGGCGGTACTCCGGTGTCAACCCTCGAAACACGATCTTCAACATTTTAGACGCTGAAATCGGACGCTTAAATTGTTGCGAAATTAAACGAAGACTGGTTAAATAAGAAGAAATTTGCTCTCCTTTAGCCTGAGTGCGCGCTTTTAATTCTTCCCACAAATCCTCTTCGTCGATAGCACCGCTGAATTCTCTTAAGAATAACTTTTTGAAAACTCGTCACGATCTAATTTCTCTTCTGGTGACATGATACCAACGACTTGCTGAATTTAATAAAACGCTAGGGATTGCCGCTAATAACTCTTGGTCGCAAATTTGATAACATTCTCTACAGTCCTGCACGCGAATTTAAATTCGCCCGGATCTTCTTTATCCGACGCTGAAAATTTCAAATTCCAGCTCTTTAAAAGCCTAGCTGCGCGCGCACCTGAGATTTCACGCGTACCCGGTCCCTGCCCATATTGGGCCTGGTCTGGGCCATATTCGTCTTCCGATCCTGACTCATCCGAAGACAAGTTCAAAAGTGAGTCATGATGGCCTCGCATTGAATTACCGCTATTTTCCCGAGAATTAAAATTTGCCTCTGTATTTCCGACATGGCCCCCACCATAAGACTTAGCTTCGTCCCTTCTACCCCTCTTTACCCACTCTTCTCTCTCAGGCGGGTCTAAAACCTTTTTAATATCGTTGACCAGACCGGACACGCGATCATGACACTGATCTGGGAAACTTAATGGAGGTTCGCTGAATGAGTTTTGTGGTTGTGAAACTTTAGGTACCGTACCTGAACCTAGGTTACTATCGGTACCCTGCATAGGCGGAGCCGACGCTGAGTTCCGTAACGCTTGTCCCTGACGCTGACTATTTTGTTCGGGAGGCCGCGGCGCCCAATTAACCTCGGTATTAGTATTATAAGTAAACACCGTACCGTTATGGGGGAGATAGCACATTCGACTGTCGAATTGACTAAACCTCCCTATAGGTGGTACAAAACTAGGCGTAGCCACACCAGAGCTCGGTAATGCCCAAGTTACTGTTGGAGACGTCCCGGACGTTCCACTTGTCACCGTCGGCGCTACTGTCGTTACTTTAGACACCGCACTGCTAACAGCCGTATTAGCCGCTGATATTATGGCTGGAGTCATACCCGCTGACTCACTAGTCGTTAGTATCTGCTGATCTAACCCGGTGTTATAATCCACGCAGCTCGCCACGTCATCGCCTTGATTCACCTCCACTTCGTCATTCGCGTCAATTTGATCGGTTGTCAAATCCACTTCCGGTACCGGTAATCTATTTAGATCCGGCATAGCCTCCACCAGAAAAACTTCATCCGAATCGCTAGCATCAAATTTTTTAATCCACGGAACAAAAACTATTTCGCCATAAACTAGTCTTGCCCGGACACGCAATAAACGCTCGCGCAATACCTGCACCGTACCTAATGTGCTCACATTATGACTCATCAGTTCTCTCACGACGTCACTGATAGGCATACGCGTTATCGATTGCCAATTTGTGCTGATATTCGGATTTTCCAAAAGTTTCGCGAAGTGACGCTGATATACCTCCATTGTCGATGAAAACAAATTTTTCACTCTTCGCGATAACGAAACTAATTCCGGAAAATTATCCACTTTTCCCGATCAAATACTAACGCTGACAATAACAGAAAACACTCTTAATAAAAAAAAAATTCCCTGATACTAAATCGCGGCACTCATACAACTCTTTCCGTTTTCTAAAAACAATTGAGTTGTCACTGAATTACGCTGATTTCCTCGTACCGATTTACCGAATACACAAAATATAATAAGAGTAAGAGAGAAAAGATTTTCATTGATAAAAAAGAATTCTCTAATCAGTCCCCAAAATAAAATTCCAAAACAAAATGAATGAATAATTAATTCATTAATTTATTCCAAATGAAATTGGACGCTAACAAGAAACACGCTTTTTTCGTATATAAAAAAAATAGTCTCTGATAAATGTTGCACCCGCAACACTAAATCACGTCCAATAAAACATTTTCCAAACGTTTACGACACAAAAAAAAGTTTTGTCCGTCGCGAACAAGTGTCAAATTAATAAAAAAAATTAAAAAAATAATTTTCTTTTTTTTCTTTTATTATTATTAGAGAAAGAAAGAAAAATTAACACCTTAAAACGAATTAATTCACCGAACGCTGACTCACACTAAATCACGCGGCAATTATAATCGCTTAATTTCACTTTTCTCAAAAATGAAACTCTCTCAATAAATAATCTCTTCGAGAATTGAGAATAATCTCACTTGTCACCTGACAAGGTTTGTAAATTCGCGAACGAGGAAAAAAAAAAATTAATTTGACGCTGACAAATTCTTTCTTAAAATCCAGATCCACACTCACTGAAATAATAGAAAAAATTTAAACACACTGGTCGATTAACTCTGAAAAGGATCTTCACGTAGTTCAAAAGGAAAACGCTGAGAATTCTAAGAACTCATATATGGCGCTACACTACTCAATTCATTTCACTGACAGAGTGTGTTATAAGTCGAGGATATAAATTCTAATACTCGCTCTAATCACACTCGGTAAAATAATAAATAATAAAATAAATCCAAATTCAATTCAACGATAGAAAACTCATAAAAAATACTCGCAACTTGACATTTATTTCAAATTATATTCTCGAACACTTTCACTTCTCAATAAATTTACCCTCGAAAATAGAAAATTATCTGCAGACAATATTTAAAAATCTTTTTCTTTCACGCTGACTTTAAACTCCCAGCTGACTACTGTTCGCGCAACGTCATACGCATGACGTCATATCCGAGCACATGTTGAGAATTAACTTTTAAAAGGACGCCGAAATTCACCGGCACACATAAAAAAAATTCACTGACGCTCCACGAACAATATGAAAATTATATTAAATATTACAGTTAATTTTTACTTCCTTTTTTTTTAGTTCGAGAAATTGATTGATTATTTCCAATAATCAATGTACACTGAAATTATGCCTCGCGACACCATTACCGGCACACGACCGCGCGAAATTTTTAACCGTCACACACGCTGACAAAACAGGAATTTTCTCCTCGATGACAAAACACAACACAAAAATGATCTTGTTTTTTATGCTTGGTCAAAAGCGTCCCCACAAGGGATGCCAATTATAATGATGGACTTTCGCGCGTTATGAAAAACCCGCTTGCACCGTCCACATTAATCGAACGCTAAATACTTATCTTAAATTACGCTGAAAAATACCAAAGGGAGATTCCAACCAAGTCGAACCATCGGTGCATTGATGATCCCAGAACAAGATTAATTATCAAAGAACTCAGCAACGTTGAAATGCCGACACTAAGACGACGTTGACTGACGATGATAAACACAAAATATGATAACACCAAATAACACACATTTAGTTAACAACGAATAAAGATTTATTTAAAACATACAACTATTTAAAGAATAATCAAGCGTATAACGCGACAATAAATTATGAATCCCGCGAAAGGGTCTTCCTCTTAATACGATCCAAAATCGACTGACTATTGACGCCAACTTCCCCTAGATCTCCTAATCAGTTAAGAGGGGCGCGATATCCCTTTTCCTCGTCACCCCTATCGCTCCATCCTTCTCCCTGGACGATTTGGCGGCAGCTCCCCGGAAAACCTAGATAACGACGCTGACAATCGGGCCTTTAGGCGGCACAAACATGCGCACATCCTCACGCAGAAAAACCGCCAGAACACATGTTCATGGCACGTTGACACGAAAAACTAAACAGCTGATAGATCAAGAGGGGCGAAAACGCTGACAGATACCAACCAATATAAGTAACGATTTACATCGTTACAACGATTACTAAAACTGGAGACAGTTCAAAGTAAATTCAAGCGTGTGAAATCAAACTGACAGTTAATAAATTAATTGAATCAGTCTTTTTAAGGCTACAAAATAATTATATTGGATCCGCCGTTGTGCATTCTGAAAATCTGACTTCAGATTCGTAATCAGCGACCCCAAAAACCCCCGAGTGACATGTTTCAAGCGAATTCAATGAATTTTTAACAAATTCGTCCGCCATATTAGATCCGCCATTTTGAATTTTAAAAATATGAATTCATTTTCGTAATCAGCGACCCCAAAAACCCCCGAGTAACCAGTTTCTAGCAAATCCAAGAAATTTAATAAAAGATATTGAATTTTCATCCCTTAAAACTGAAGGGGTAGTTTCCACCCTTAAAAATGAGTTACCGCCGATATAAAAATATACGTGTGTGGGATAGGTTAATCTCAATGACAGCAACGGAATAGTAACACTAAATATAACGATTTATTTAATTAACTTGTTATATAAATTTGACAAGACGAATGTATGTCAAGTGAAAATTCGGTCGGTGTACTTCGAATGAAACTTGGGAATGAACTGCCGATGTACATAAGGTACACCCTTCTTATACTCTAAAAACTCATTAAAATTATGTTAAGGTAAATGAGGATTAAATCATCTCATTTACAATACTAGAGCATGTTGAACGTAACAATAGGAGACACATTAAAAACCTATTAAGTAGTCTTGTAGACTAGACTACAATTGCGAAATAGGAATGCATTGAATTTTACCCTAAACTAATGGATTGTTAAAACTCAATTAACAAGTAATTGACAAGTGTCTAAATGTGTAGAGTGTAAATATTTTACAGAAATATTAATATAAATTCAAATTTAAACAAATACAATTTCCAATAAAATATTGCGCTACCGCTACAGTACCCCCCTGCTAGTGGTTAACGATTACGAAAAACCATCCTGTAGGCGATCAGGGAACCGTACGCGTCTGTCAGATCTTGTAGAGTGTGGTATCGAATTCTGCTCTTGTTCTGGTGTTGCTATCTGCTTAGAAGGTGCATCCTCCTGGATGCTGGTATCTCGAGATGATTGGACAATGGCCTCAGGATCATTAGCCAAAACGTAAGCTGACTTCAGGCGATCTATCGAGACATTAATGTCACGACCATTGATGCTGACGAGGAAGGTCTTCTCGAACCTTTTTACGACCTTGAAGGGGCCATCGTATGGTTGCTGAAGTGGTTGTTTCGGTGCATTATGTCTGACAAGGACTTGCTCGGTTGTTGCAAGATCCTTGAAGACAAATATCCTCTTAGATCCATGACGAGAGCCTCCAGTTGGCTTGATGTCCCGTAGTTGTCGAAGTACAACTACAAAACCAGCTGGATCGAGAGTGTCGTTGATGCTGCTGTTGGCTCCAAGAAACTCGCCAGGAAGGCGAAGGGAGTGACCGTACATCAAGTCAGCTAATGTTGATTAGATGTCATCTTTCCAAGCTCCTCGGATTCGAAGCAGCACAGTTGGCAGCACTTCAGTCCATCTATTGTTTTGATGGCACATGAATGCTGCTTTCAGCTGTCGGTGAAGTCGTTCTACCATACCATTTGCAGACGGATGATAGGCTGTTGTGCGTAGGTGAATTGTAACTAGTAAACAATTCAATTGTTTAAACAAGTGCGACTCGAATTGACGTCCTTGATCGGTGGTGATCCTCAGTGGAGTTCCGAACCGAGCAATCCATGTGTTGTAGAATGCTCGAGCAACAGTTTCAGCCTCCTGGTTCTCCATGGGTACAGCTCTTGACACCTAGTGAATCTGTCTACCATGGTGAGACAGTATCGTTTACCTTCTGAAGAAGGCATGATAAGAATGTCGAGGTGGACATGCTTGAATCGGGTTGACGGTGGTGCGAAGCTGCCGACAGGTGATGAGACGTGACGGGATACCTTGGATTTCTGGCACTCAATGCAGTTGCGAGCCCAATTCCTGCAGTCACTTTTAATCGACGGCCAAACGGAACGCTGGGTTACGAGTTTGACTGTCGATTTTACTCCAGGATGTGAGAGATGGTGGATGGTGTTGAAGGCTGCCTTCCGGAATTTTTCTGTAACAAAGGGTCGTGCTGACCTCGTAGAAACATCACAGAAAAATGAAACATCTGCATCGGGAATCCGGATCAGCTTTAATTGCAGGGAAGATGCTGTATTTTCCAAGATGACCTTTAGCTCCTCATCATCGCTTTGGGCGGCTGCAAGAGCTGTGTAGTCGAAAACAGCTTCAACTTCAGAGATGCGTGAAAGAGCATCTGCTACGACATTGTCCTCTCCAGAGATGTTTGCGGATGTCAGTCGTGAATTGACTGATGAATTCAAGATGGCGGAAATGTCGTGGAGAACACTGATCACTCTTCTTTTGGAAGGCATAGGTGATCGGCTTGTGATCAGTGTATATCGTGAAGGATCTTCCTTCCACCATGTGTCTGAACTGCTTGATGGCCAAGTAGATCACGAGAAGCTCACGATCGTATGCTCCATATTTTGTTTCAGCAGGACTCAGCTTCTTGGAAAAGAAATTCAAGGGCTGCCAGCTGCCATCGACCAGTTGTTGTAATGAAGCTCCTACGGCGAAGTCGGAACCATCGCAGAAGATAGCCAATGGTACATCAGAATCGCGATGAGCAAGCAGAGTAGCCTCAGCTAGACTTTTCTTGCTTGCTTCGAAGGCCTTGATGGAGTCGGATGTCCAATGTACTGGAGCCTTCCCCTTTGAGTTTCCTTGTAGCATGTCGTTGAGTGGTGACTGGACCTTAGCAGCATTCGGAAGGAAACGCCTGTAAAAATTAAGCATTCCAAGGAACTGACGTAGTTGCTTAACTGTTTCCGGGCGATAATAGGCACGAATGGCGTCGACTTTGTCAGGCATCGGTCTGGTTCCTGCAGGAGAAACCAAGTAGCCGAGAAATTTGACCTTAAGCTGGCCAAACGCACACTTGGCTGGATTGACCCCATACTTCTTTAGTCTGTCAAAGATGATTTCCAGGTGCTGCATGTGTTCCTCAGGTGTTGCAGATGCGATCAAGATGTCGTCAATGTAGACGTAGCAGAAGTCTAAACCTTGGAGTACTTCATCCATGAAGCGTTTGAACGTCTGTGCTGCATTTCGCAATCTGAAGGTCATGAATTTAAACTTGAATAGTCCAAAGGGCGTGGTGATTGCGGTCTTTGGAATGTCTTCTTCGGCGACAGGAATCTGGTTGAAAGCTCGAATAAGGTCAATTGTTGAAAATAGACTTTTACCTTGAAGAGCGTGCGAGAAATCCTAAATGTGTCTCATCGGATACCTATCAGGGTAGGTCATCGCGTTGACGGCACGATAGTCGCCACATGGTCTCCACTCATCCCCTTTTTTTGGAACCATGTGAAGTGGTGATGACCAGGAAGCTTTGGATGGTTGAGCGATACCCAATTTGACCAGAGTTGCAAAATCAGTCTTGGCAATTTTTAGTTTGTCAGGCGCAAGTCGTCGTGGTTTCTACGCCACAGGTGGTCCGGGTGTTGTCAGGATGTGATGTCTCGTAGAGTGCTGGACAGTCCTTGTGGTTCCATCTGGACGTGTTTTCTCAGGAAACCGTTGAAGAAGATCGTGAAAATGTGACCTCCCAGTGACGGTTTTAATACTGGGAACCTCGCACTCAATCACCTCTCCGTGGGAGGTAAAATGAGTTGCTTGGTCAAGGAGACGTTGTTTTTGAAGGTCCACCAGGAGTCCATAGTGTGCCAGGAAGTCAGCACCGATGATAGGTTTCTCGACGTCGGCGATGACGAATCTCCAGGTGAATTGACGGCGCAAACCGATGATGGTTCTGTTGCCCGCGAAAAGTTCATACGATGATTTTGCACGAGGTTCAGGAAGTTGTATTCGCGAAACCACGCATAGATCCGCACCTGTGTCAATGAGGAACCTGGTCCTGGAAGATTCATCTGTCACGAAAAGTCGGCGCGATTTACTGAGAGATATGTCATCGGCCAACATTAACGACTTCCCAAAGCGTTTTCCGCACTATCAAACTTGCATGGTTTCTCACACTTTCGCGCGTCATTGCCGAACTTCTAACGATACCAACACACTTCACTTCCTGGATGACGGCGACTTCTGGAGTGCGAGCGAGATTTAAATCGTAATTTCGACCTTGATCGTTCTCGTCCTTGCGACACTTGATTGATTTCCAGAGAGGCGAACTTTTGAAGCACAATTGCAAGAGTCTTCTCTAGACTTGAAAACCGGGCCTCATACGTAATAGTAGGAGGACTCACTGTTGCACTTGATGTACCCGTGTACGCTTCCGCGACGTTGCATAAGCTTCCATAGGCATCCGCGACGGAGTCAGCAATTTTTGCACGTTTGTCCAAGGGCAGGTCCTTGTGTGCTGCGAGCATGGCTTGCATATGCTTAGGTAAGCGTCCTAACCAAAGGGTCTGCAGGACCTCTTCTGGAAAGTTGCTTCCCGCCAGGTTGCGAAGATGTCGCAGGAACTGAGTTGGCGTTTTATTAATTCGGATTTGAGAATCTCAAACGTTCTCTCAGCTTTCGGTTTTAGAAGAACGTCACGAATTTCCACTGCGTAACGCGGATGGAGAGCACTCAGCGTGTGACCGAATTTTGTTGCGTCTTGCGTGATACCCGCACCATTGAAGCTGCTTTCGAGCAACAAAAACCACATTTCAGGATCAGCGGGCATAAAGGGTGGCATATTAAACGCGATTCTGTCGACAAAATTACCGTTTTCTGTACTACTTGTCATTTTGCAAATGTTAGTCAATTTTGTTGCCACTTTTTACAATATTGTCACTACACTATCACTTTATGTCACTATTTTGTCACTAAGCTTTTACAAATGTTGACCCAGTGTTGGCACAATGTCGTTTCGCGGTTGCCACGACTTTGCCGCTGTGTAGTGACGGTGTATATTTTCACCCCATATTGTCACTGTGTTGTTGCACTGATTGTCACTTGAATTTTCCCACGATAACTACTTCACGATCACGTCGGGGTCACCAATTTGTGGGATAGGTTGAACTCAATGACAGCAACGGAATAGTAACACTAAATATACCGATTTATTTAATTAACTTGTTATACAAATTTGAAAAGACGAATGTATAGGTGTCAAGTGAAAATTTGGTCAGTGTGAAATATTAATATAAATTCAAATTTAAACAAATACAATTTCCAATAAAATATTGCGCTACCGCTACACGTGTATATTTTTTTTCATCACTCTTGAAGTATGCAAAGTTTGATCAAAATCGACGTCTGACACTTTTGGGTATGTTTATTGTAAGTCGCAAGTTATCAAATCAATTTTGTATTTATATTCCCATGTTAGGGTAACGTAATTGTTAGCGTAGTAGCCTATGGAGCGATATTGCTATAGAACAGTTAAAATTTGACACTGTTCTAACTATGTTTATTTTAGAGTCTCCCTTTTCTATTACATCAAGTTTTAATATTTTTATTAAGAATAAAAATATTTTGCACGTATGTTTAGGTAATAATCGTGCGATAATAGTTATGTACCATTTTATAGTTGTTACAAAACAGTTCTAGATCTGTTACAAATACATTTGTAACCTTATTCTAGATCTATTACAGCCCAGATAACAATAATGCGCGCATTTAAGATCGCTCTTAGTGATTCTCCTATGGTGCATGCAAAAGCAATATACTGATGCAACGCAAGCGCTTACAGTCGCATTCATGTTAGCAAGAAGTTCTCTTTATGCCTTCACGTATGCGATCTCCTACAATGCATTTAAAATGCGCCTTTAATGAACTCACACAGTATGCGAATTACAATAAAAATTATTTAATTTAAATAGCTTAAAACATGCGTAATATTATGTTAAGATGAAAATTCTCTCTTGAAAACATAATTAATAAAAGTTAATAAGAAAGTAACTATTACTCTCTACATCTGAATTAGTGAAATACTACTAACAAATAGTAAAATTTGACTAATATTAGTGGAAGACTTTTCTTCTTTTTATTAGTTAAATATAACTAATTTTTAATAAATATTCACTAATTTTTTAGTATTATTTCACTAATTACTAGTCATCTGACTGACTACATAAATTAGTCAAACTGTTTTATTGACTGTTAATAAGGCGGAATGACTAATTCTTTAGTCAAATTCTACTAACAATTAGTAAAATTTCACTAAATGTTAGTTAAATTGTTACTTAATCATTTAATCTTTTCATTAGTAAAAAACTAATAATTTAAATTTAGAGAATAAATTAAAGTTAATAATAAAGTTTGTTGATCAATATGAAATGGACTTTTAAAGATATGAGAATTTTATAACTAACTTATGAATTTATATACTTTTATTAATATTCCTGTCACGAAAGTCCGTGAAAAATTTTGTATTATTTGAATATATAAAATTCCAGTAGCAATCGTTTTGAGTGGTATCAGACATGTCTATGTCAACTAATTCATAAGATAAGAAACGGTAAGGAGTTCGAATCGAGCATTCGAAGTAACAGGTTGTGAAAATGGCGTAATAAATAAACGTCAATTCAGATATTAATGTAACGTGATTAAGTAACTGAAAACTGAGACTTGAAAGTGATAAAGTTAATAATAGCCAAAAGTTTATATAATTAAGTTAATAAAATTAAAAAGGATAGTGAAGACCGCCGAATTAAAATTTAACCTATAGTAGCAATTTAAATCAAATGTAACACGTGTATCAGTGAAGAAGAACTGGAAAGGGCTATTTCAGGAATACCAAGTAAAGCTAAAGCTATCAGTACCAATGATGAAATAGAAAAAGTACAAGGAAAGAAATACAATTAAACCAGGATGATTAATAAGACGTTATATAAGTAAATAGGATAATAAATTTTCAGAAATCTAGATCAAAACTGAAGTAAGTAAATCCAATTTTGCATGTCTTGCCTCAAATCTATCCAAGGACACAAACAAAACACGATACAGCAAAGGAGTTGTTATCTCGCAATAGTATAATAGTAAATGCTTATGCGTATATGCACGATAAATTGATAAGCTTAAATTTGCTAATTAGTCCTCTCAAAAATCCAAATACTCCTTATACAATAACCATTAATAATATCCGGCTTGGTATCCTAACTCCGAGCACTTGGTGGCATGAAAATCAGTAATTTTCTTAAAGATACAAAGGAAATTGTCAAAATAAATAATAAATCAAAAATAAAAGGTATCAGAATTTCAAAATTAAATTAGACTTGGCACTCTAATTTCAAAATACAACTGTGTATTAATTGAATTGAAATTTTTTTTTAGATTGAATTGAATTAAATTAAATGAAATTAATAAATAAATAATTCAACATATAATTATAACAAGTATAAATAAAGTAGAGATGATCAAAGATAACTGAACTATCATAGGACATGCGAAGGGTTATGATTGCTTTTTGTCAAAATTAAAGATTAATATACTTATAACAAAACAAAACAATAGCGATAAAGTAGAAGTAAGGTGGAGAAGTATATGGGGTTATGAGAGAGGAATAAATAGGAACTTTTACTTTTTTTTCCTTTTGTTCTTTCCTTCTTTCTCACCTATTTTCTCTCTTCTCTAAACAAATTAGCCTGGTTTTAGTATCAAAAGCCTTAAAGTGGAAAAAGGTACAAATAAAATAAATAAATAAGGGTGGGACAAAATAAAAATATGTAAGATATTAATTATACAAATAATATAAAAAAATAGTAACTAGAATCTTTTTCACAGATATTAGTAGATCACTAGTTGAACAATGAACCGCTGTTGCCGTGACTCGTCCTCAGACAGCCTTACCAGTAATAAAAAGAGCGGTCGTGGCAGATTTAAATCGAGGACAAGGGGAATCGCAACGAGTGAAGAAATGAAAATCGTGTAAAAGGAGAGCTCTCTTCGCCCAGGGAGATCTAAGGAGGTGGTCAGTAACGAATTAAATAATTCAAATAATGAAACAATTGACCGACTACGCAAAACTACTGAAAAACTTAAAAACAGACTAGACAGAGCAACCCCGACTATGTTATTTCCTAAACCTAGCGAAACCCCGAACAAAAGACTTTACGAGTCGTCGTCATCTTTATCCCCAAGTAACTCGAGTTGTCAGAATACTAATACAAAACAAATAAAAAAAAAGTTTAGAAGTGTAGTCTCAGGCTTACCAGAGCAGAATTCAAGTAGACAGTTTGTTAGGTACCCGCAATTGCAAGCGAGCTCACCTAAGGGTAATAAGGGGGCGTTACTAACGAATCCAGACAATTATATAACAAATATAAATAGGAACGATTTCCCTTCGGAGGTAACAAGAAAAGGCGAAATGAATGATCCAATACTAACCTGGTTTTCTAAACAGACAGACCAATTGAATTGCATCCCTGCGTATGATAATTCTTTTGACTCTCCATATCTTGTTCTGATGGAATCCGTCAAACCTGAGATTAATATTGGAAGACTGAACCCAACAGCTATAGGGAAATTTGTAGCCGTATTTATTGAGGGAGACAGGAAAATTTATATTAGCGGTCGAAACTAAATTAAAATATTCTGTGACGAGTTGATGGACGCGAATTATTAACTTTCATATCAGGAATTGAAAAATGAGGGTTACAGGACGTTTATCCCTGAAGCAATAAATCTTAAAAAGGGTTTTATTCAGGTTAGCGCAGAATACTCAGTCTCAGAAATAATAGAAAATCTTGAAGAAGGGTAAAAAATTCAGTTGATTTCTGCGAGTAGAAGGTTAGAAAGAGGCAGCGATAGGCCGACTAATATTGTTGACCTTAGATTTAAGGGCAAAAAATTACCTAGAACTATGTTTATTTGTAATGTTGCTCATTACATAACCCCAACTATCCCAATTCCGAAAAGATGTTACAAGTGCCAAGCTTTCGGACACGTAGGTTCGCAGTGTAGGTCTACTCACTACACCTGTGAATTCTGTGGTGAGAGACATCAATCTGATTCTTGTGACAATCCTAATCCAA